AACTATAATGCAAAGGTGATATTGCAATTTGCTCTCAACTTTTGAAAATTGCTAACAATCATTTCCTGTACAGAGAACTTCATGACGGGATATCGGATGGTGTTTGATAGAGAAAACCTGAACCTGGGTTGGTCGCTGTCTGACTGTGAGTACCAACATCTGATCACTAATTTTCTTGGTTTGCTCTGGATTTAACTATAACTGCTTTTTTGTCTCTACCCATGGGCAATTAACTTAAATGCTATTACTCGTATTCTGTTACTTCACTCCTTACAACCCATTCTTGTGTATTGAGAAGTTGAACTGCATTTTTTACGCCCAGCAAAAGTCAATGTGATATACATAAAAGCTTGTTTGCAGTTTCACCAAAGATTAATATTGTACATGAACTACGGTCTTCTGGAGGCTATTGACTTTATTCGATTAACATATGAGAGGAATTTTTCTCTACTCATGTTAGCATCTGTACTTTGAGTCACTTTCTTCCTCAGTCGCTTCACTTGTCTCCATCCTTCTGTTTCTTTGTCGTTTATTAGTCTTCATTGCTCACTGCGTCAGCCTACTTGGTAATTCTGATGTTTAATATCCCTCAGATACTTAGTTAATTAGCTGCACATATAGGAGGAAGATACAAACTAATCAGAAAAAAATGATAAGATGTGGTGCCTGCAAGAAGTATTCAGAGTTTTGTGGCAGGTTGCAGGTAGGGAAGATGTTTGCAAGATCTTTCTGATTGATCCCCCAGTTTTAAGAATATTAGCTACACTTTATCTGTCATCTGGAGTATGTGATGGTGCGGCTTGCAGCTAGTCTTCCAACAAAGCTTGCTTTCCTACCTTCACGTCTTTCCATTTCTTATATTACTTTATCTTGCTTCATTACTTGCTCCAAAAGAGAAAAAGGGGCAGAAAAATGCTCCTTGTCAATTAACTATTTAACCCTACTTCGTTTTCCAATTCTGAGTATTTGAATGTCTGATTTTAATCTTTTGCATGTTCAATTGCTTGTCAGGTCAAGACCTTACTGATAGTAATAGACTGCCAATGACACCAGCAAATGGTAGTTCGCCAAACTCACTGCCAACAGAGCTGCAGAATTCCCCTAATAGCTCCGGAGTTACACCTGCTGTTGCTGGAAGGACACCTTCAAAATCTGCAGCACCAACTAATCGTCGAATCTCATTCAAGTTATGTTTAACGAATTTGCTGTTTCCATTGCTGCTCGTGTCAAGTAACTTCCGACAATCCTTATATTCATTGACCTTATAAGCCTGATAATGGTAATGGCCTATAGGTTCATAATATATGTGTAGTTTTCCTTGTAAATCCTGTCATGTGGAGCCGTTTTTGTTTTCTTATTCCCCATCCCACCCTCCTCCTTACCTATTTTTCCCCCTGGTTTATTGTGATTTTGTTTATTAGTCAGATAGGATGGGGCTGCTAGATGAAGAGCTTGTTTTATGCATCTTCTAACTTCGGATGTTTAATTTCTTATTCCCTTATCAGGTGCTGTTATACATACATAATGCTCAGTGTTGTATTCCATTCATATGATTCTAATAAACTTTGCCTATTTGCCGCTTTAGCCCGAATATGCAACTACCTACTCTTCACATATTCAGTTAGTAACGAATTTGATATCACTTGAAAATCTAAAGTAACTGCAGTTCTGGTGTATATTCTTATATTATCTAGAGGTGGCTAGTGAAATTAAAGGTAAAAAAGGGAGTGTGTAAACAACATACATAGTCAATTATCGCATTTTGGAAGTAAATACATGATTTACACATCTGAAAGAATAAATCTATCTTCTATTTTATCTTATCTTATCTATATATAATATATAATAAAAGGAGAGACAAAAACACATTATTAAGACAAGTGACATAACCAAAAAAAGTCAAGTGAAGACAAAATAAATTACCTTTTTAACTAAAAAAATTCTTTTTAAATTTTGAATTAATTGGTTACTCTATTTGAATTAATAATTAATAATTATAGATATCTTATAATTAGCTATATTAAAATAACGAAAATCTAGAAACAAAAATTGCAAATTCAAATTGGGGAGTAGTTTAAAGTTGGAGTTTTAAAGTTATTTTAAAATTAAAAAACGAAAAATAAGAAAAAATTAAATTATCTACATTAAAAAAACGAAAATATATTAATAAAAAACAATTACCTATTCAAGTTGGGGAATAGTTTCAAGTTGGAGTTTTAAATTATTTTAAAATAAAAAACGAAAATAAAAATAAAAAATATAGTTTTTTAGGATAAAGCTCTAGTTTCAAGTTGGAGTTTTAAATTATTTTAAAATAAAAAAAAAATAAAGAAATAAAAATAAAGAAATATATTTTTAGGATAAAGCTCAAGTTTCAAGTTGGAGTTTTAAATTATTTTAAATAAAAAATTAAAATAAAGAAATAGATTTTTAGGATAAAGTTCAAATAAAGTTGGTGTTTTAAAATTATTTTAAATAAAAAACGAAATTAAAAAAATAAAAAAATTGCAAATTCAAATATTTATCTATATATAATATAATATAATATAATATAATATAATATAATATAATATAATATAATATATATAATAAAAAGGAGAGGCAAAAGAACATTATTAAGACAAGCCGCGTAACCACAAAAAAACAAGTGGCATTATTAAGACAAAATAAACTACCTTTTTAACTAAAAAAAAACCTTTTTAAATTTTGAATTAATTGGTTACCCTATTTGAATTAATAATTAATAATTATAGATATCTTATAATTAGCTATATTAAAAAAACAAAAATATAAAAATAATAACTATTCATTCAAATTGGGAAGTAGTTTCAAGTTGGAGTTTTAAAATTATTTTAAAATAAAAAAATAAAAAATAAGAAAAAAAATAAATTATCTACAATAAAAAAACGAAAATATTAATAAAAGAAAACTACCTATTCAAGTTGGGGAATAGTTTCAAGTTGGAGTTCTAAATTATTTTAAAATAAAAAATAAAAATAAAGAAATAGATTTTTAGGATAAAGCTCTAACAAAGTTGGTGTTTTAAAACTATTTTAAATAAAAAACGAAATTGAAAAAAATAAAAAATTACAAATTTAAATTTGGGAATAGTTTCAAGTTGGAGTTTTAAGACAAAATAAGTTGGAGTTTTAAGACAAAATAAACAACCTTTCTAACTAAAAAATATTTTAAATTTGAAATTTTAAATTGTGAATTAATTGGTTACTCTATTTGAAATAATAAATATAGATATATTAAAATTAGCTACAATAAAAATCGAAAGAAAATTACCCATTCAAATTGGAGAGTAGTTTTAAGTTGGAGTTTTAAAAATATATTAAAATAAAAAAAAAGTAAAATTAGCTGTAATAAAATGAAAATATATTAATAAAAGAAATACCCATTAAAATTGGGGAGTAGTTTCAAGTTGGAGTTTTAAAAATATATTAAAATAAAAAAACAAATAAATATGTAAAATTAGCTATAATAAAAACGGAAATATATAAATAAACAAAATACCCATTCAAATTAGGGAGTAGTTTCAAGTTGGAGTTTTAAAATTATTTTAAAATAAAAACACTTTCAATTCAAATAAAAAATATAAAAAGTCAAGTGGCATTGTTAAGACAAAATATTTTTCAAGCGGCATTTAAACTGGGGTGTAGTTTCAAGTTAGAGTTTTAAAATTATTTTAAAATTAAAAAGAATAAGAAAAAATTAAATTAGCTATTAGTAAAAACGAAAATATTATATAAAAAAGAAAAACTACCTATTCAAGTTGGGGAATAGTTTTGGTTACTCCCTTTCTAACTAAAACCTTTGAATTTTAAAATTTGAATTAATTGGTTACTCTATTTAAATTAATAAATAAAGATATCTTATAATTAGCTATAATAAAAAAAGAAAAAAACTACCCGTTCAAATTGGGGAATAGTTTCAAGTTGGAGTTTTACAAATATTTTAAAATACAAAAAATAAGTTATAATAAAAAATGAAAATATATATAATAAAAAAGGAAAAAAAAACAATCCATCAAGTTGGGGAGTAGTTTCAAGTTGAAGTTTTACAAATATGTTTTAAAAAAAATATATATTATTAGCTATAATAAAAAAAATGAAAATATATAACAAAAATTATCCATTCAAATTGTGGAGTAGTTTCAAGTTGGAGTTATAGAATTATTTTAAAATAAAAAATAAAATANATATATATAAATTCCCATTCAAATTGGGGAGCAGTTTCAAGTTGAAGTTTTAAAATAATAAAACAAAACAAGAAAAAAAATAGAATTAGCTATAATAAAAAAATAAAAATATATAATTAAAAAACCAACCCATTCACATCGGGGAGTAGTTTCAAGTTGGAGTTTTAAAATTATTTTAAAATAAAAAATAAAAAATAAAAAAAAAAACACTTTCAATTCAAATTGGGGAGTAGTTACAAGTTGGAGTTTTAAAATTATTTTAAGATAATAAAACGAAAATAAAGAAATTAAAAACTTTCAATTCTAATTGGGGAGTAGTTTCTTCCTAATATAGTAGTCTATATAAATATCTATTTTATTTTATATATATATATATAAAAGAAGTAAATAATTATATGATGCCAAGTGGTATAACCATAAGACGACAAGTGTAGATTCTTAGGACAAAGCTCCAACAAAGTTGGAGTTTTAAAATTATTTTAAAATAAAAAATAAAATAAAAAAATTGCCAATTCAAATTAGGAATTAGTTTCAAGTTGGAGTTTTAAGACAAAATAAACTTCTTTTCTAACTAAAAAAACCTTTTGAATTTTAAATTTTGAATTAATTGGTTATTCTATTTGAATGATATAAATATAGATATCTTATAATTATCTATAATAAAAAGATGAAAATATAAAAATCAAATACCCATTCAAATTGGGGAGTAGTTTCAAGTTGAAGTTTTAAAATTATTTATAAAAAATTAGATGTAACAAAAAGACGAAAAAATATATATTAAAAAAACTACCCATTCAAATTAGGGAGTAGTTTCAAGTTGAAGTTTTAAAATTATTTTACAATAAAAAATGGAATTACAAATAAAATAAAATTGCCAATTCAAATTGGGGAGTAGTTTAAAGTTGGAGTTTTAAGACAAAATAAATTACATTTCTAACTAAAAAACCTTTTGAATTTTAAGTTTTAAATTAATTGGTTACTCTATTTGAATTAAAAAATATAGATTTCTTATAATTAGCTACAATAAGAAAAAAAAAAAAAACTACCCATTCAAATTGGGGAGTAGTTTCAAGTTGGAGTTATAGAAATTTTAAAAAACATTGCACATTCAAATTGGGGAATAGTTTTAACTTGGAGTTTTAAAATTATTTTAAAATAATTAAAACGAA